TATCTTTGCAAGCCATCCTTCCTTTTACCATGTCCATTCCCAGCTTCATATTGCTTTTTGTTCTTTAAACTTCTCATCTCTCTCTTTTGATGAACTCATCAACTCCTTCCATCCCCAACTTTCTTGTTGATCTTTCTCTTCAGCTTCTTTTTTGTTCCTGCTTTATAGCTTCTCATCCTTAATTAGCATTTTATATTGTTGTGTGCAAAGGATACTAACAAGATCTAACAAAGTACTTGGTTAGAGCTAAGTAAAGAAATAAAAGAAATAAAAACTTAAGAGGTCATTAAAGACCCTGTGGTCATCTTGAATCATTCTCCCAGTGCTCTTGTACTTCCATTTATCCACTTATTTCTTAACCCATTCATTCTTCCCTCATATATTTGTTTCATCATTTAATCCCCATTCATTCCATATCCCTAAACCATCTTAACGTACTTCTTTCATACCGATTATTCAGTTTTGTATTTGCATTCATTCAGGATCTGGTAATTTTTACCTATTCTCTTCTTGTATTATCATACATACTTCTGTTGGCACAGAATTCAACTCATGTTTATGTTCCTCCTGCCATATCTAATTCTTGCTTCCATATAACAAAAGGAATAGAAACATGCTCTCATATACCACCATTTTTACATCTTTGACAACTATTTATTCCTTTCAACAGATATTTTCTACCAGCATTTGCATATTTTAAAGCTGATATATTGCATATGAGGAGTTAAGGAAGATAACCCAATGACATAGTGCTATTAAATAATTAACAAGCAGGAACTTTTTTTCTTTTTGTATCTAGTTGGTGGATTTTTTTCCATTTATTGATCTTCACATGCATATGTTTTCTTCAAGAAGCTTGTAGCTTAGCTTTTTAAATAAAAATATTACTATAGTAGCACTCTCTAAATTCCAATTTGTAAAAATTATTTAAACAATGATTAAAATAGCAACACAAGAATTCTGGTGAGTAGTCTACTTTCAAATGAAAGACCTATATATTGGCAAAATAGTGCAAGGAGGTTTTGCTTCCTTCTTGGGCACTTTTTATATAAAGGGAAAGAAGCTTGACTCTTGCAAAAGGGGGCAACTTCACGTGCTGCTTGTTTTAATTAACAACTATTAAAATTTGTATGAATCTGAGAAGCAGCTTTCACAAAAAACCTTATGCTGCCTTTAGCAGTACTACTCTCAAGATGACTCATAAAACCATTAAAACAGTATGATCAAGCATCAGATTTGCAGCATGAAAAATCAAACAATAATACTGCCTGACAGATAAAAGTAAATCCATCTGATTTTCTTAAGATGTGAGAAAATAAAAACGGCCCTGTTTAGTGTGAAAAAGCCCAAGACAATCACACCAGGTGAGCCTCTCTGTAGGCAAGCCTTCTATATTGATGCTCTGCTGGAAACAGCTTTGCTGGAGCAAACCAAGACCAGCCTCTGAAGATGATCTTTGTGGATAAGCAAGTTCATATGAGAGAAGGCAGTCCTTTAAGTACCCATATCCAAAGCGGTGTAAGAATTTAAAGCACTTTGATTTGAATTCATGAACAGTCTGTGAAGCTATTTTAAACCAAAATATTTCAGACCATGTCAGCAATCTAGCTGCTGCATTTTGTATTGACTAAGCACATGCCAGACTACTGCACTGACTGCATTTTTTATTAGTTTTCAAAGACAATCCATTGTACAATACCTTGAATGTGATTTATTCAGTTTTTGCTTGATGTATTGTGTAAACCCATCCACTCTGTTTATAAACTACAATTTATGGCTTAGAATGTTTTATAAGCCCAGCCAATTATGGCTTGTTAAGTTGTGGTTAAGCAAGCAGGTCATAGCACAATATATAAAGCCAATTTTCATGTATACTGTCAGATTTGCTGTGATATGGGTGCCTGTACACATCTGAAAAGGATTATGGAATATATGTAAGCTCCAGGACTATTTGTGAAATGCCAAACAATATCTTGGACTTAAATTCCAAGCTATGATTTGGCATTCATTCAACTACCCCCTCTCTCCTTTTCCTTGCGTAATCTTATTCCTTTCTCTTTCACAACAAACCAAAGCTTGCAGTTTTATTTAAATAGCACACTGTGGTGGCAGAATTCTGAAACAGAGAATCACAAAAACACTGCAAAAGAAGGATATGTAGACATCTCTTACAAAGAAAAGAGCAAGCCTAAGGCTGCTTGGTATAAATAATCCTAAACCTTGCATAAATTTGACTCTCTCATATGCCCTGGCAGTGTAAAAAGAGAAGAAACTTTACATAAACAGGACATAAAGAACAGTGGGATTTTTAATCAAAAAGATCAAGATTATGAACAACATGAATGTTATGAATCTGTTTGTTTTTAAAAATATACTGACTTGAAAAAATGTAGTTTAATTTCCAGTGACGTTATATAGACCATGGATCCACATACAGCTATAAGGTTGGTTTCTGATGATTCAGGGTTTGTACACTGCTATGTTGGCTGCAACTTCAATATCCATGTGCAAGAAGGAAAAGAGAAACTGAAGCCCCACAGGCACATTCCCTATGCACTAGCTGATGTACAAGAACACTGTAACCCTTTATTATGCCAAAATTATTTGTTCACTTCAGTAATGATTTTGTTCAAAGCCTAGCCTGTGGGCTTTATTAAGGATAAAGCTAATAAAAACTGATGTTGCTAAATTGGACCTACATAAACCAGAATCTGTTCATCAGTGTAATATATTACTGTACTTAGATTCTTCGGAGGGAGGGTATGAAAGTAAAACCAAACATCTCTTTAAATACCACGTATCTTGTAATTTGTGTCAGTCTGGCATTTATTTATTTAATCAATTTGTTAGCTGCCTCAATTGCCAAGGCAAGAAAAGGACTGAAACACAAATACAATCATATAAGAAACCCATGTTGCGAAACAAACCATTCCTGAGCAGGACTACAAATCACTCTGCCCCAGAGCTTGTCAGAAGAGTCAGGTCTTCATAGCCTTATATTGAATTGTTTCGCATGTATTGACCTTACTGCATGAATCACTGTTCTTGTTGGAAGACTGATGGAAATGAATCCAAGAACCTGGTGGTCTTGCTAGTGAAAACTCCCTGAGGTTCTGGAGGTTTTGGTGTCCATAAAAGGCCAGCTTTGAATCAAATCAGGAAGGGGAATTAATAATTTCAGATCCAGTCATGCCTACAAGAGATCTCCCAGTTGTAGCTGTTCCAAGACTTTTAGGCAGCATTCCTATAGGCCTGGAGGCAAGTGGGGCTGTTTTAAATAGACATATGTAGGATTGCCCTAATTTGAATTTATTTCTGCCACAACAGTCTGAGTACAATCACATATTTTCCCCCTCATCTGTGTACCCTTGGTCTCATTCCTCAGTGAATGCCCTGAGTGCACTCAAAGAAGGAACCAAGAATTCTGAGGTGCAAATTGCACATTTTTATCAGTTAAATACAATCAAGAATTACTTTACTCACATTGTAATCATGATTCCCTCCATTACATGGACAACAAATTGAGGCTGAGATATTTATAAATGCTAATGATTATTTAACTAACAAATTGCTGATTAATTAGTTTAATGTGTGTGCTGTGCTTTGAAACTGTGAAGTGCCATGAAAGTGCTAAATATTTATACTGTATATAAGGGAATGTGTGATTAAACTGTGAAAGCTGAAACTGAAGGGAGGGACGGACTTTGTGGCAGAACAAATGAATAAGATCTTCTTATTGGATAGCAGCTCTTTCAATTGCTCACTTGCAATAGTATTTATATTGCATTGTTACAGTATGACTGGTGTACCCAACTTTAAGAGAATCAGCTGTTCCTAGTTGGTGTAACAGGTCTAAATAAGGAGATGCAGTCCCTTATTCAGTAACTGCTGTTTTCTGGACCAGATTGAACTGGGTGGACACACGTTTTATATAGAATAGTTCAAGTGACTTTGCCAGAGGCTCTCTAAATTACGTAGATCTCACTCCTGGTTGGAATCTGTGGGTTAAATATTCAGCTGCTGTAGGGCATTAAACTACTTTCCACTCTCTAGAGTGCTAGTGGAATGGTTTGGGCTCAATGTAACTTACAAGTAACCTAAGGGCTGTTCTATATTTTACCTTTCTACACTAGCTGTTCTATGTGGTGCCCCACATCCAGAATGACTAATTGTATTATTAGTTTGTGTATGTAGTGCACTGTGTACCAGTGCTACCCCTGTTCCTCTGCCCCCCCCCCCCCCCCCAATTCTCTTGTATATAGAATAACTGGGTGTTAAATTTTCAGATATACAGGAGGTCTCACAAGGGCAAGTTTGTGGTCTGTGTTCTTGTTTCCAAAGCAATACATCATAGAATTTCAAGAAAGTATATTAAACATACTTCATGTCAGGCCTTTGGTATAGTGAAACTGACCACACAGAGCCACAAACTGACATGTCCCTGCTTTATACCAGTAACCCATAAAACAGGAAGGGGAAATTTGATGGTCCAAGAGACATAGAAAGTATATTAATGGCAACCTAAGGGGTATACTTAAAAAACATAGTCAAGTCTAAAAGTGATTGACTAGAATAAAATGACATTTAAGTTGATATAAATGCAATTAAATTATACCACATTAAATACAATTAATAGTCTTTCTTGCATGCTTAATAATTTCTCCCTTCTATTGCATTAAATATGATAATAGTGTAGCTTATTAAAGGGTTCTGCTGCCTGCAGTCAAGGTCTTTGGTCTAGCCCTCCTATTTCAGAACATGGTAGGAGACTAAGAGCTGTTTGCAAATAAGGTGTGAACCAATTCCCAAATAAGGTGAGTCTATTTTATTAAATCCAGTTTGTTTATTCTATACTGCAGTTATATCCCAATAAGTCTCTTGATAAACTACAGCATCTGTAAGCAGTGCAGGCAGAATTATAGCTTAGATATAGCTGTACAAAAAAGCTCCAATGACTGCATGTCCATAAACATTCCATTACTTGCTCCAAGATTCTTTGATTTTATTAATAAACACTTTGGGGGCTTTTTTGGGGGGAGGGACAATGAGGACAATAACCAGATCCACACATGTAGAGAGGCTTCATTCCTAGTAGAGTTCAATATCTGAAATAGAAGAATTTATATTCTTCATTCAAGGTTGTAAAACTAATACATTTAAATATAATTCAAACAGTCTTTTCAGCATTTTGATGTTCTCCTCAGAATCCCACTTACTTCAATGAAGAAAAGAATTACATGGATAATTACATCAACTTAAATAATATTCTACTATCAAATCTCTCAGGAGTCTTCAGAAGACTCTCTTAAGCTCATTTAGAAGATACAAATCCAAGGCTTTCACTTCTCACCAACAGTGCTCGAATGGTTTTCTGTAGGCATTTTTATGTTGGCTGTGAATGTCTGTAAGAGAGAAACCAACATATGATTTCCAGGCAAACACAAAGCACGTGCTCTTTCACTTTGCTCAGGCACACACAAAGCACATGCTGTTAGGATGAACTTAGCTAGGTGCTAGTCTTTGCCTATGCCTATAATGTATTTCCTATAAATAAGTTTATGACAGAAAGCCTGCTTCATCGAGCCTTGCTACGGCTAGTTTCTTACTCTCACAAAGGCTGATATGCACACACAGAATGCTTAATTATAAATCAGTTCCTTCTGATTGCAACGCCACCCACAGTATGACTGGGATGGTTGTTCCTGGGTGTTTATTGTTAAAGACTAACTCAGGATTGGAGCATTTCTGTCTAAGCTTACTTCACCCCATCCAGAACCCGACAGTCTCCAGACACTGCTTCAGGCTTTCCATAACATCCCTAGCTTAGAATGGGGGACAGCTGAGATCATCAGTGTGCTTAGGACATCTCCCCCAAAGATCACACAGATGTTAAATTGCAGTGAATTGCATTTTCCCCAGTCTGTTATAGTCTTGCACACCTGGTAAATATCTGAGGCAGCCTTCCTCAACTTTTATGTGTTAGACTTCAAGTCCCTTAATTCTCAATCAGCAAGGTTCAAGATTTATGGGGTTTGAGTTCAGTACAACTGGAGAGCACAGGTTGGGAAACTGTAATGCAGAAGGTTATCTGATTTATCCTATTTGATGTGTTTTACATTCTGAAGAAGAAAGTCAGACATTCACTTCTTGGTGTATGTACTGACATTACCTTGAAATTGTCATTTCCTCCATGCAAGGAAAGGAGAACATTCATTATTATGTCCTGAATGTGATATTTTTGTATAATAATGCAGAAGGTTATCTGATTTATCCTATTTGATGTGTTTTACATTCTGAAGAAGAAAGTCAGACATTCACTTCTTGGTGTATGTACTGACATTACCTTGAAATTGTCATTTCCTCCATGCAAGGAAAGGAGAACATTCATTATTATGTCCTGAATGTGATATTTTTGTATAATTCAATTGAGTGCAGCCTAGGAACGAAGGATACCATCTATTACAATTTTTGAAATGACTGAGAGATACAAACATGCTACTTCTTGTCAGTTGCCCAGAAGTAATGTTTAATTTTTTTTATCAAGTTATTTTCCTCACTAACCTTTACTACAATGATAACATTAAACATTTACTTGGGGCAGTTAAAGAAGATATCTACCAGTCCTGACTCCATGCAGTTCCCTTTTAACCAAGAAAAAATATGATGGCTGGGATTATTTGATATAAAAGGTCTTATAATATTCTGAGCTTCTCTAGTACACTTTAGAGGCTTTCCTCCCCCAACACATTAACAGATTAAACATAATTAATACAATAGGGACAATTAAATGAGAGGTACTTCCAGGTAAGGATCTACAGGGATTTCTAGGTGAGTTCCCTGCCTTACTCACTGAATATAGAATAAGGAGTTAAGATAGGAGTATCTTAGCTTTGACGCTTATTATCTAAAACATGGATAACTAAAGTGCATCTCTCTTTAGATGGCAGTATTTTAATGTGTGGGAAATTTCTTTGGCCAAAAAAAAATTAAAGAGGCATTAAAGAGCTTTACATGTCTCCTTAACGTTGCACAGACATCCACATACCAAATGTTGTTATTGTTGCTGTTTTCATTATTTATTTTCCAAAAGGAAAGTGTATATAATTTAAGATATTGCCTTGATTCTAAGCTATCAATGGAGGCAAAGATGGCCCAGTGGCAAGAAGGGCCTAAATCTAGCTGGCGCATCAGCCACAACCTTTACTAGACAATGATAGTCTAGCTTTAGTGAGTCAGGCTTAGCCTTACCAGATATCTGGACAAGCAAAGGAAGACACAGATAACTGGAAAGGAGGACAAATAGGGGGAAAAGGAGAACACACTGTTTAACTTTCTTGGCATCCACAACAAAAATTACTGGAGAAAAACTATCCCCCCTCAAAAAAAAAAATGTAGTTAGGCTGATATATATATGCAATTTCTTTTTCCAGTATCAGAACCACTGGTTTTTCAATCAAAGGAATGCACTAGAGCCTGTTAGGAGGCAAAAGCCTTCAACGTGTAACTGATTAAGGTCTTGTCAATTTCAAGCAGGACAAGGGGGCTGGAGGGTACTAATCAACTACTGTAATTAAGGTCACAGAGTGGAGCTTGTTAACTCCTGTTAACACTTATTAGGAAAGTGCTGCACCAGGGAGAAAGCTACACAGGAAGAGGAAGCTTGTTAGATATTTAAAAAAGCCTGATAATATTTGATTTTAAGACTATGCCTGCCGGACAGAGGACGTGTCTTCCTTTTGCAGGAAGTTTGTGAACCCTAGCCACACTGTAATCTCCACATTAAATTATTGCAATGTACATTGCAGAACAGAATGCTGACCTTGAGATTCTTCCTCCTATTTCTCTATTAGCTTTAATGATTGCCTCTTTCTGATCTTAAAAACCTCAAAAACAGTTGAGGTTTGTCCATAAGGTAGGATGGAACTATGGACCTGAAGACTTCTGAGCCCTTTACCAGATTCCTAACTGGATAAAAAGTTAACTGATCTGAATTATTTCATTGGCAATAAAGGGAATATTTTTAAAGAGGAAGATAGGAAGAAAGAATAAACCAGGAATACTACCTTGGGTATGTAGATACCTAGGTAGTACCTACTACCTTGGGTATGTAGATATCACACACCCAAACTTCTCAGTATGATTACTTTATTATTAATTTTTTTTTTGCATTCCTTTTTTTAAAACAATTGATAGATCTGACCTCATGTTGATATCTCTGTGGGCAAAGAAGTATACTTTCATTCCCTTGTAATTTTGCTGTTTTTTAAAAAAACCTCGGCCTATACAAACAATTTCAGATTTTTAATCTGATGTCATTATTTCTTCACATAGTTTTATTTTAACCATTACTGTTTCAAATCATCTTCAAAATACAGGCATTCAAATTCATACAGGAAGTATGCAATCAGTAAATCAGTTAATTTTGTTTGCTTTCTATGATGCAATTAATGTTAATATTATCTCTGATAAGGGATATTGAAAAAACAAACGGGGATAAAGGATAATCTCTGCATAAGCTGACTTCTGGTTAATTAATTCTTACAAGTGGCTTATTATTTTTTAATCCACTTATTATTTCTAAATATTTCTAAATATTATTTCTAAACATTTACTTCTAAATTCTTATTATCAACATTTGTTTAATTAATAAGTCATACAAGAAAGACCACTGTAACTCATCAAATGCTTTAATGGAGTTAAGCCATACTACAGTTACTTTTAATTGATGAACTGACTACCGTTATTAATACTGCAATCTTATTCCTCTCTTCAGTTCAGTAGTATTTAGCCCTAGAAAAGTATGTATAAGAAGACTGTAGCTGGATAGGCAATCCTGTATGATGAGTGCAGAATGCCAAATCAGAAACTCCAGAAAAATCCAATGTCTTTACATCAGAGTTCATCCTAAAAGGGTGAACCTGATATACAAATTTTATCCTCATTTCCTCTGCCCTTCCTGAACATTTTAATCTAAAATCATTTTCTTCCATTGCAATTATGAATAGTGTAGATTAAATTTATAAATAAAGTTTGCCTTTCTTTGGTTGCAGGACTACAGTATAATCATTTTTAGGTCTTACTAGAATTGTGGTATTGATTTGTGCCAGACTTCTTAAACATCATTCAATTTTTGTTGTACAATTATTTAAAATGTTTTTTGTCTTATATGCTGTTTTGGAAGTTATATGCTGCTGTGATGGTCTGCAAATATGACATTTATTTTCTAGGTATTTGAGATTTCTTTCTGTTTTAAGATTATAGGCATAGCTTTTTTCAAATGAAAATGATAGTTGAGCATTGCTGACAAATCATGGCATATACCACATGGGAAGATAAGCCTATATTAACTGGATGCTGTGGGTATCCCAATTAAAACCAAGAATATGTAAAAGGCAGCACTATTATAAGATTATAGCAGCCCAAGGTGTAACAAAGCAAGGCTAATCAAATCTTTAGCTTCCTTTTCCTGTGGCAAACCTTTTGTCCTTCCACCTAAGAATCTCTAATAAGTTGCTGACTTGTAAGAATAGAGTAAATGACTGACATTTGTCTTGTCAGGGTAATAAACTGATGACGAACATTTCTTTGCTTAACTTTTGGGTAGTAGCATTGTTCCCATGTGCCATAATTACTGGGGATTTTATAGAAGATAATATTAGTTACTATGTATAATGGATATTTACTTAAACAGTTTTCAAACATTTGCATCAACATCTTACTTATGTCTGTTGGTTTTGGTGCATTTTTATGTGAATAGCGCAACATAATTTGATGGGTAATATACTTTTATTAGATTTTTGAGGAGCAATTGAGCTTGAACATTTTATGAACAGTGATATTACTTGGATTAAATAGAAACAAAAACAGCAGCAAGCAAGTGCTCAATAAATAATAGGTTTTTGGTTTTCACTATTCATTAATTCTATTCTACTTTACAAGAACATATGTTGGTGTTGCAAGAAATGAGATGACTCTGTCTAAAAAAGGTATATATTTTTCCCTGACTTGCCTTATATGTTTAGATGAACATGGAATACACCTTGCAATTTTTCTGTTTGTGTTTAGGAGAGACTTGTTTTTTTCTGTTGGGAGCCCTAAAAATATACATGGTAGTAAAGTAGGCCAGTAACAGAATAGATGTAGTAGAATCTTTTATAATTGAAGAAGTTAATCCAGATGAAATGAATGCAATTCACAAACTTAATTACTATAAATGAGTGACTAGTTTGGACTGCCAGTTCCAGTCCTCTGGAAAACTGAATATGCATTTAGAACCACATATGAATGTTTGGAATGAAAGGCAACAATCATTTATTCAGTTATTCACTGAATCATTTCAGGCCGAATTAACATCCATTACTAGAGACTAAAAAGGAATTGGAAGTTTGGTGAATTCAGAATGCAACTGCTATCTCAAATGGGAATTTGGTTCCAGACTTAATTCATTTCAAAGGCAGTCCCAGTATCATGGATGTACAACCTGAGGCCCCAAGCAGCATGTGACCTCCCTATATCCTTGGATCTGGCTTCCAAGAGCTCTTCTAAAACTTACCATTGAATGGTAATTGTTAATGTGACATTTATTAAATAAGAAGGGAACAATGACATTACCTGTATCTAAACTATCTGTTATGGACAGATTATATTTACATAATTAAGACTATCCATTTAAAGAACAAAACAGCAAAAGTTCTGAATATTATCAGACACTCTCCTCATTCCTTTTCTACTTAGGCAAATTTCTGCTTATTGGGTTATATATGTTTACTGTTTTTGAAGACTTGATATTTGTCTAAACCAGTTAGTGCTATAGACCTCCTTTTAAAATGTTTGTTGTACATGTAATCCTGTAATGTTTGACCTGGTTTTCTCATTTAATATCACTCTCTACTCTCTTTCTTTTTATATAATAGTGCTGGTGTTTTAAGTAAGACTAGAGCTCACTGTCCCAAAGCCAAATTTGTCTCTTAAAATGTTAATAGGGATTCTAGCTTATTTCTTATCCTTTATCGCAGATACTCCAGGCTGTGTGGATATTTTCTATGTAATCCTCAAGATGAATATCTGTATTCTGAATGCTGTGTGTACAGATTTTCCTGATAACATAATGAATAAGCAAGTATGTTAATCTGCATACATGCCTGCAGAACATAAGTTACCTCTTATGCATTTCATGAAATTTAAATGGAAAAACTCAGATTCTTCATATTGTGCATTTTTAATCCTGCCCAACTCAGCTTGTTTATTCTATACCTTTCATGTGATTTTTTTCATAATAATCTCCTATAGTTTTTGAAATCACCTGCTATTCCAAAGAAGAACTCCAGCACCTTTTATTATGCAAAGCTCATGATAATCCTGCTTCAACTTCCTCATTCAACCTTATCTTAACAACACTCCCACTTATCCAGATATCTGGCTAAGTAAGGGTTTTAATAATAATAGCAATTAGTATCACCAAGTTTTAAATCAGGTATTCTTCTGGAGACACCACAAGCACTGAAAAAAATAGATAGTTATACATTCAGGTATAGTTCTTAAGACAACTCCACAATCAATGGCACCAATAGTCCCACTGTAAAACATTAACCAAAATGTTTTGCATTAGAATGCCTAATTTGAACATTCTTTAGCAGGGTCACTTAATGATATCAGCAAAGCTGGGGGGGGGGTCCCCTATCTTTTTAAATACTTTATGATAGTGCAATGAGGGAATTAAAGTTACAGCTCTAGAACACTAGGCATCCTGACATATGTTCACACACTTTTTAATGGCAGTATTATAACTGAATAACTTAGTTATTCAGTTAACTAAGCTTAAGTTCTGGGTTAGCTCAGAATTTGAAAAAAGAAAGGAAAAGAGAATGAATACTTTGTAAAATACAACTCATAAGTCCCAAAACATTTGAAAGCCATTTCCTCCAAAGCTTTGCTCTTATTATTGTTCAAGAGACATAAAGTAATACAAAGAATGTACTGGTTACAAAGATGGACTTTTGTGAAGAGTATCTCTGCAGTGTAATTCTCCTCAGATTATTCCGAATTATTCCAATTAAAAGAGGAATCTAAAGCCTCTAGATGCTATTGAATTACAACTGCCAGCAGCCCCAGTAATATGACCTGAGGTGAAGGATGCTTGGAATTGTAGTTCAGAAATTTTGGGAGGGCCACAATTTCCATCATACATAGACTGTTGGACCATCTGCCCAATATTATGGTCACTTATCATAGATTCAGCAAGTATTTTTAGAGCCCTACTTGGAGGTCCCAAGGACTGAACCTATAATTTCTGCAAGCAAAGCATCAAGCCAAACAAAAGAAGAAACAAAACTGATTCCATGTAGAATTTTTTAAAGATAAACTTTATGATTTATTTTTACTGCATTTTCCTTATACGATTCTGTTTTATATTCTGTTTTATTATAAGTTTATGTTTCAGAGTTATTGGTGTTGTATTACCATGATCAATTTGAAGAGCAAGTTGAAGCTTTTCATTTTATACCATGAAGATGCTGTATTAAACTGTAAAAATCTATTTGTGAACAAATCCAGCTGAACTGAACATGATTAGTTCTGAATATATATATTCAGTTATGTATTGCTGTTTTTACTTTCATTGCCCAACATGCTGCTAAATTCATGAACATAATAAAAAAGGAAAAACAAACTGAAGAATATATGCATTTTTACCATAATAATCAGCCCAATAATAAATTGGATGGGATGATACCTGGTGCCTATATAGATGTCCCCACTGTGCTGGGGCACAAAACTTTTTTTCCATTAATAATAAAAGATGCCAGAAACTCTAATAAACCTTTCAAAGCTCCGCAAATGCATATGATTTAAGATCTAAAATGGCCTTTATTCCTTCCTGAAGTGTCACGGAGGGATTGCCTCCAATTCCTTTACTGCTATTATAGCAGTTCAATTCATCCTGAGCAGAAAGAGAGAATTTCAGAAAACAAACAAACATCAGCTTAAATCTGGATGGAACAGTTAAACATAAACAAGAATCTGCTACATCTAGCTGCCAGCTTAGTTAGGAACACCATTCATTATGGAAAAGTATAATTCAGCATGTATGCTCTAGGAAGGAGGCTCTGGCAAACCACTTCCGAAAAACAATTGCCTTGAAAACTGCAAGGACT